GACCAGGGGCACCGGAGCAGCTTACGAACGGGGCTTTCTCGCCCCGGAGCTCGCAGGTAGCAATCCGCTACCTCGAACTCCGGGGCGAGAAAGCCCCGTTTGTAAGTGCGGATCCGACATAAGTCGGATCCGCGTAAGTTGGGGACTGCCTGTACAGTGACAATGGGATACTTTTTACCAGTTTTGGAGGACAAGACGATGAAGATTAATTTACTTTAGAATAGAGTTTGAAATAGCAAATCTTAATGTTGAAGGTGCTAAATCAGGCATGTTTATGCAAATGAATTAATCTCCTAACTTATCTATTGAATAAATATCATAAATGTGAGTAAATGTTCTGATTACCAGAACAGAAGAGTAACAAATTTATTGTGGCTGGGTTGTTCCTCTGTTGCTGACTGCTTCTTGCCCTTGGATGGTTGTTTCTTGCTGTCAACTGAGGAGTGCTCTGGCTTCTCCTTGCTCTTCATTGACCCCTTTATGGGGTTGCCAGATTGTTTCAACAGAAATACCGGACACACTTGACACTAAATCACAATCTACATTACATCTTATTTAGAAAATACCAGACATTTATGTTTTCTCAATTTGTTTCCCAAACAGAGAGCTCAAATATTGGACTGTCCGGTTCAAAGCCAGACTCCTGGCAACCCTACCCATCTACTGTTCTCTGAGTGGAGGGTGGCAGTTGGGGCCGCTGCACACTTGTTCCTGTGGCAAGAGAGAGAGATACAAGAGTGTTGCCCAGTGTCATTTGGATGGCTTGGTAGACTCTGATCAGAGATGTAACCTAGAGCAAAAGCGATTTGCCATTGAAATCCTAACAAAAATAGCCCATAGCCTATGGATGCAGTTTAGAATATCTCGTTAGCTCTGCAAATTCCATGCTGGAATAGTTTATAAAGCAGATTAAAAATAGGATCCTTCTGGCCATAACAAGAGACTTAACAGGACTGAGTTTGTGACATGGTGTTGTCAACTCATCATGATTTTATCGCAAGTCTTGTGATATTAGGATCAGCTGTTGGTGTATTGTACTTAGATGAGAATGTCAGCTTTTATTATTTTTAAAAGTGCCTGAGTTGTGGGTGGGGGGGGAGTTTCTCATAGCCTTCCTGGTTGCAAACAAAAGATGGAAAACATAAACCCAAAGTCTCAAAATCTAGAAAGCAAATAAAAATAATCTAGGGTGTTTTTTTAATCATGTTATTTTTTTGGGGGGGGGGAGGGTCTGAGTCATGATTTTTGAAGCTGTAGGAATTGTCAATACTGTGGCAATACAAACTGGCAAGAGTTCTGAGTCAGCCTTTTATTAACCTATCCATTGACCTACATCTGTGTAATTGTTTTAACGTATCTATTCAAATAAAACCACTCTGAATTTGGTAAAATCATACAGTCTACTACAATATATAAGAAATCTTTCTATCTTCAGAAAATTTCAAGTTTGGAGTGTAGGTTCTAGAGCAGTGATACTCAATTAGTTATACTAGGGGTTCCCAAACTTTTTGACACAGGGACCAGTAAATCCATTCATGAACTTTTGGAGGACTGGTAACATTCATTTGCATATTTGCATATTCATTAATCAAATGATGAGTATTCAAATAAGTTGTTTCTAGTCTTCCCAAAGCCCCCAGTGCCAGCTTTAGCAAAGCTTTTGATATGGTCACCCACAATATTCTTGCCAGCAAGTTAAAGAATATAGATTGGATAATGGAGTATAAGACCGACAGAAAGCTGATTAGACCAGGGTTTCCTAAACTTTTACTTTAGTTGGAACCTTTTTTTTTTTTTAGTACTGTTTTTTGCAGCCCGAAAATATAAACACAAAAAACAAACTGAGAAAATACCAGACATATAACATGTCTGGTATTTTCTCATTAGGTACGTTTTATTATTACTAGATGTATCAGTTTGTAGTTTCAAACTGCCTGGCTGGTAAATGTGCTCAGGCTGCATGAGTGTGTCTACTAGCCAGCCAGTTCACAACTACTCGAGAGGGTTCAGGGAGGGGGGGGCACAATAGAATCCCCAGGCTGGACTCACTCGTGCTTTGTGGGGGGGAGGAGGGGCAGCACCCCGAGATCTACATATGGCCGGGTCAGTCCTGCTGCCCTCCTGCTCCCCCCGCTGCGCCTCTGGCCAGCCCCACTTCCCTTCATCCCCTTCTAGGCAGCCAGTTCTCCCCTGCTTCTCCTCCCAATCTCCCTTGGCCCGC